GGTCCCACCATTTGCCTACAAATTTCATGATTTCCTCCTTTTTGATTGCTGAGTAGTATTCCATTGTGTAAAAATACCACAATTTCTGTACCCATTCCTCCGTTGATGGACATCTGGGTTGTTTCCAGGTTCTGGCTATTACAAATAATGCTGCTATAAACATGGTTGAGCAAATATCCCTTTTGTGTACTTGAGCAAACTTTGGGTATATACCTAGCAGTGGTATAGCTGGGTCTTGAGGAAGCACTATTCCTAATTGTCTTAGAAAGCGCCAGATAGATTTCCAGAGTGGTTGTACCAGTTTACATTCCCACCAGCAGTGGAGGAGGGTTCCCCTTTCTCCACAACCTCTCCAGCATGTGTTGTCCTTTGAGTTTTTCATTTTGGCCATTCTGATGGGTGTAAGGTGATATCTCAGGGTCGTTTTGATTTGCATTTCCCTGATGGATAATTAATCTTATACAGTGAATAATATTTAATCTCCATAAACTTTATTTTGCATGTATTTTAAAATAAATTAAAGAATAAAATTTCACATCTTGGTCTCCCGGTAAGATTTTAGCAATTATTAAATGAAACATTAGCTGTTATAGTACTCTAAGAATTATAACAAATCACATAATTTTAATAATAATTCACACATTTCTCAGATTTGGTGAAGACTTATAAAATCTCTGAGATTAAAATTGGGACTATTTACAGGAAAACAGAATGTTGCTATGGTTGACTCGGACCTGCCAAAGATGAATTTTAGAAAAAGTGTCAGATGTGTTCTTATCATAGCTCCAACTATAAAATAGTTAGTGCATCTTTTGTTGTTTTTCCAATAACTGCCCAATATGGGTAGATATGTTTGCTACAGTGCTGTGTCATATTGCATGTTTACATTACCATAATTAGTCTCTTCTGGTGGGACCTGGAACTCCTGCACAGGTGTAGCCCATGGCAGTTCAGTGTCCAAGTGGGTTACATAGTAATGGGAAGAGGGACTGCCTCTGACATAATCTGATTGGCCTGCTCGTTGATCACTTCCCCCTGAGGGGGGGGCAGCCTTATCAGGCCACAGTAGAGGACAATGCAGCCACTTTTGATGAGAACTGATAGACTAAGATCAGAAAGAAGGAGAGGAAGACCTCCCCTATCAGTGGACTTGGGGAGTGGCATGAATGCAGAAAGGGGAGGGAGGGTGGGATCGGGAGGGGAGGAGGGAGGGGCTTATGGGGGGATACAAAATGAATAAAGTGTAATTAATAAAAAATTAAAAAAAAGATAATGAAAGGGTGTTTCTGACAAGATTTTGCCATTAATTATTTTTAAATGACCAGTTGCTTTTCAAATTATTTTAGGTTTTATTTACCTTTATTTTATGTATCCAAGTGTTTGTCTGAATGTGTATCTGTGTACCACTTGTATGCAGTGGCTATGAGAGCCAGAAGAGGATGTTAGATTGCACAAAGGTCAGAAGAGGGTTTTGTCTCCCTGGGGACTCGTGTTACAGAGAGTTGTGAACAACCTCGTTTACCGACAGTCGAAGCACGCGTCAGTAGCCTATGCTCTTAATTGCTGAGCCATGTCTCCAGCCCCAACCAATTGTTAATATCTTGCAGGAGTCATTTTAAAATCTTCAATATTACACAGTAAGCATTCAATACAGCATTTACTTTCTTCATCAACAATTATCCAGGACTGCCAAACAATTAGCTATAGTGTTAATAGCAAAATTATTAATTAAACCATAAATGCTCCCTTCAAAGCTGTATGCTCCCAGATAACCATAGCAGTTGGTAAACTAATGGGTACTTTATCCAGAAAAGATTTGCTAATCATGGTGGTCTTCATAATATTTTTATATACTTATTAAACCAACAGTACATTCTACTCTCTCTCTCTCTCTTAATTGAATGCCTTACAATGCAGTTGGAGCTGCTCCAACTGTGCATTCAGCTGTATAATTCATTAGCCAAAACAACTTAAACATTATAAGCCCCAGTTTATGTGTGAAATGAGGATAATAATGGTGTCTTCTCTTCTCAAAGCAGCTCCTGAGTTTCATGTGATATAGTGGATGAGAACATGATTTTCAAAATGAAAGTAATTGTTCAGATATTACCTAACTTGGAATTTAACATTTTATGAACTTTATCCCTTATTTCACTGTTTTGCACTGTCTAGAAATCCTTCTGCCTATGCTACCACCCTTCCGAGGTGGCAGTTTTGAAATGTGTGTTTATATCTCACATCTCTTTATGAGTATGAGATGGAATCCCATATGTCTAAAAATTATCAACATTAATATGTGTAGATATTAACCTAACACTTGCTCTCTGTTTCTATACTGTTTCTCCGCCATTGTTCTGTCTATTAACCTACCTGGTTACTGTATACACAAGCAAAATTGTCCTAACTTTTTCTTGATCCTTAGTCTATCAATTAAGTTGGGTCAAGTGTAGTTTACTATTGAATACTCTTTCATCCCTGAATCAGTGTAATAGTTTTCTGACTTGCTTCTCCAGCAGCTCATGAGGTTCATTCTAATATTCTCCTATGATTTATAAACAAAGCAGGAACCTTCTCACTTAATATATGAAGCAAAAACAAACAAAATCCCCATCATTCTCAGAACAGTCTGCACATCCAAACACAGGTTGCAAAAACTTTAAATCCATTCTTGTAGAATTTAATGTGCCTCCTGGCAACTGTTTAAAATATAATTTCTCATGAGGACTTTCAATCTAGGTTGCAGGTCCAGAACCAGAGAGGACTGAGCTAGGTCCTCAGAGATGAAAATTTCAAGAACATATACAGCATAAACGTAATATTATAATAAATTCTACCCTTGTATGAAAATGAAAGAGAGTTCTTTTTATTTTATGCACAGTTGTTGACTTACATGACAGCTTTCTGAGTGTAATACTGTCTCCTGAACTACAGAATGGCAAGCAATTTTTCAAATATGTTAACCAGCCTTCATACCATCGTGGAAAAATACTTGACATCACTTCAGGAAGCAAAATGTTTGTTTCTTTGATTCTTTTTCCAGTTTACATTTCAGAAGTTTTAGTCCATAGTCTTTCTGTCTGTTGGTTCTGTGCTCATAATGAATATCATAGCAGCAGAAGGTTGTTCACTGTATGCTGTACAGGAACCATAGAGAGGAAAGGGCTAGAGTCAAGACACAACCCCCAAATATAACCCTCAGCAGCTCACATCCCCAGGCAGGATCTACTTCTCAAGTCTGTGAAACACAGCTCTCAGTATCTGACCCCGTAGGGAACATTTTGTTATGTGCCTAACAAGTGAGCCCTAGACATCGATTTATCCTCTTTCAGTTTTTAAAATTTCTGAGCTCCAACTCGGCACTTTTATTGTCATGTGTTGTTTTTTTCTGAGTATATGTCATTTGCTCCTCCTGAAATTATCTGCACACTAACTGACCTTGTCTCTGACTGCCACATTTCTTCTGCTATACTGACTATACCTTCTTCTTAGGTAGAAGAGATTCTGGTTAATCCACCACTCTTTCCCTCCAGGCTCTCAGTTATACTTTCTTAAGTCTTCATACACCGATAGTCTAAGTTTATGTTTTGTTATACATCATCAGGAAATAATTGTGTATTTAAAAAAGTTACTTGACTATTTTAGGCTGAGAAAAAATATATTTCTTTACAAATTACAGAAATTTACATATTCTTGACAAATATGAAAGAATAATACAATATGATATTTTGTTTTTTTCCCTTTTCTGAGATTAACTTGATTTACTTTCAACTCCTGGAGTCATGCCTTTGACATATCTGACAATGTTTACATAAAATGAAATATTTATACTCATGAGAAAAATTACTGATTATGTGTCTGTTAGGTCGTATGAATTCAGTGAAAAATCATGATGAATTTCTTACTTTTATAATATTCCCAATGAAGACAAACATTAAATAAGAATATACACGTGTTAAGCTAGCAACATATATTATGTATTATGAGTATATATACATATATTTCTATATATGCATACACACATGTTGCTTACTGTGACCATTTTACAATACTTCATTTCCCCAAGTCCTTTACCCTCAGTCTAAAAGGTAATTGTAGCTCCTTCAGCTACAAATCCTTAAGGTAATTCTAGCACCTTAAGATAATGTATAGACAGTATCAAGTAAATGGTTCTAACTCAAGTATTTAAGATCATGTCTTACTGTTTATAGAATCTCAAAAGGCTGCAGAAAAAAAAGTTCTACATGGCCCTTGCAACTTTATCTCATGCCCTTCTCCATACAACACAAACATTTTGCCACAAATGAATGAGTATCTTAGATTGTAAGCTTTGGAAGTAACTTAACAAAACAGGGAGCCATGGCGGAGCAGAGAGGAGCAGGCACACACTGGAAGAGCAGCAGGTTGGGAAAGCCAAACATCTTCTCACCAACGAACGCATATGAAGAACATAACATGATGACAACTGGGATCCATCTTCAGTAATAATTAACCTTTCATACCCTTACCAGGCAAAACGTAGTAGCAGTTCCCTTGTTCTGGAGAAGGGGATCTACATAGAGCAAATGGAGAAAAATAATGACAAAATCAAGTGCTTAATCAGCTCTCAGAATATTTCACACCCTAGTATTATATTTTTGGTATGAGAGAGGGAGTTTGTTGTTTCTTGTTAGTTGTTGTTAATATTTTGTTTTGTTTCATTTTGTCTTTAATTTCATGTCTTTCTCTAAAGTCCCTATGTTAAACCAAATGTTAAGGAAAAATTAAAACAGCTTATAGAATCAAACCTTCTCTTCTATGTTTTCATGTTTATTAAGCCCAATAGTTTCTGAAATATTGAGGTTTTAAAAATATTTTCCCTATGTTACTTTTTTCTACAATAATATAAAGATCAGAGTCAATAAGGACACCATATTTTTTAAATACAAAATATCTGTATACATATTAATATGTGAATTTATGAATACATATGTGATGAAAGCAGACGGACGACTATTTAAGAAATGAAAGGTGACCGAGGAGAGAAGGAAACACTAAGAAGTATGAATTTTAGAAAAGTGCATGAAGTATATATAAATGTCATAATAAAATTGGGCACTTTGTACAGTCGATGCGTATGAATAGAAATACGTAATAATGAGTGATAACAATTATGTTACTAATTGGCTCTTGAATCCTGGAGAAATAAACGACTAGCCTTTAGCTTTCAGATTCCTGGAAGGTGCTATGTGTGTGTCACACTGTTTCCAGAGAGAGTGCATAAACATGTCTTATGACTTTAGAGAGGGAAGCAATGACAGACCAAAGTATCAATAATATCAAAGTCCAATTTGGTGAACCAATTATTTTCATTGAGTTAAGATTATGTGTGATAGGATTCTAACAGGAGCAGAAGTGACTCACAGATAGCTGTGTCAGTAAAATCTCACCTTAGAAATGGTGGCAACTCACCAAAGCTGACTTAGAGCACAGGGCGCAGCCAGCAGGAAGTTCAACAGGTTGGAGCACACCCGTCGTGGTTCAGCTGGTCTGAGTATATTCCAGGAAGCTTGGGTGCTCTTTGCTTCTTCTAGGCAGTTCAGCTGGTTTCTACTTCATCTACGTTTCCTGTCTTCTCTTTAAATCTTGCAGGCTGCTTGGATATACTCAGTCATAGCATCTTCCAAAAACAAAACAAACAAGCAACAACAACAACAACAACCCAGCTATTTTGAGAGTTCTCTCAGGAGTCTTTACTGCTTCTATACTCCAAGAGATGTAGGAGCCTTGATAATTTTGTCAAGTTCAGAGAAATCCTTATACTGTTTTGAGTTACCTCCTGTATTAAGAGATGTTTTAATCTCATCTCTGGAGAGATGTTTAATCTCAGAGGAAAGTAGTACACAGTACCAAGCTGCTGGAGAGAAAAATCCCCCAGTAATCTTACCAAGAAAAGGACCTTATGAATTGAAATAGTGGCCAGTCTGTCAAGGTATTACTACGGGTGCGATGCTGTCAAAATGTCACAAGGGTAACCAAACACTCTCTGGTTCAATGTAAGTTTAGCTCCACAGGAGGAACACATGCAGTGAAGTAATTCTATTCTGGCCAAGAACCTGAGATTGAAAGGCTCACAAACCCCAAAGATGAACCTATGATTATTATTTTTCTAAATGGACACGGCATCAGTCTACTTTCTAAATTTGTGCATATCTTTCCATGGATTAGAACAACTCTGAAATCTCATCAAGTTTTGTTGGGCAGTGCATGGTTATTTTGCTGCTGTGAGTATTTTGGGTGCAGGTTCCAGCACTGAGCACCTGAAAATGTGCCTTGGAAAACTGAGGAAATCAAGGATTTTCTGCCCACAGCTGAGCAGAAGGATGCTAAATCTGTGAAGATCAAAAGGAAAACGGACAATGTGAAGTTCAAGGTTCACTGCAACAGGTACATTTACACCCTGGTCACCACAGGCACGATGTCAGAGCGGCTGAAGCAGTCCCTACCCCCTGCTTTGGCAGTGAAGGAGCTGAAATGAACCAGTCCTCTGCATTTGACTAGTAAATACCAGGGAAAAAAGAAAGAAAGAAAGAAAGAAAGAAAGAAAGAAAGAAAGAAAGAAA